TTCACTCTGCCCATCTTCCTTGTGGGGTTTCCCAGGCCTCAGCGAAGCTGGCCAGGACCCGTGGGCACTGCCTGTCCCTGCCCGGATTCTGTCTTCTACCAGCAAATGAGTGGAAGTCTTGCCTGTGCTCTGAGGACGGCCTTTGCAAGAGGGTCACTGGGTTAGTTGTTCGTGCCTGAATTTTTTTTTTCTTTTCTTAATAAATAAGCTGCTGATACAAAATCTATGTGTTAGAAAAATACAATTGTAGCATTAAGATTAGGGCTGTGCGATATGACCAAAATCTCATATCCCGATATTAAGACATCTATCGTTCGATAATGATATAAATCACAAAAATTTAACATTTTCAGTAAATTCTGTGAATCTCGGGCAGCTCGACTTGCGTGAAGTGTTTCTAGCTGGTGATACATGAAACTATATATTTTGTGACATAAGTTGTAAAGGCCGCTGTTTGCTTTGTGAGTATTTATTACACAGCGTGCTGCAGGGAAAAGCCTGTTCTAACATTTGAGTCTAAGGTTTATTTTTTAGCACCTGACGGCTCTTTTTTGCTTCTCATCCGTTAATATTCTGCATACTCTTTTATGTGATTCAGTTTATTTTGAAAAGTCTCAACAGGATCTTGAGCTTTATTGTGAAAGGTTTATGTGGAAAATAAACAAGCGGACACGCAGTGGTTTTACCGTCTTTGTTACTAATGACAACACATAAAAACAGGCACTTGTCTGTCCATAGTGTGGTTATATTAAATATAAGAGAAAGAGAGAACTGTAAGAAATTAATATAGCCACTACAGTGACCATCAAAACCATGAAAAAATATTGCCATAAACGTTTATTTTGCGACACCACGCAATAAACGATAGCGTAAAATGAAACGATAGACGTTTTTATATCGTCATCCGATGTATAACGTTATGTCGAACAGCCCTAATTAAGATAATGACAAAACCCGTCATGGCATCTAAATTGGACAGCTAATAGTGTTCACTTCCTTTATGAAGCACCTGAAACCTGTTAATTATTAACTAATCAGTCACAGTATCTAAATTTAAATCTGTCTTAAAAGTTGGTTTTGCTTAACTTACAACACACACAGTATTTTTCTCCATTAAGTTTTTCTTTTTACAGCTCTCGGTAAACAGAGGTCACCTTATATAGAAAAAAAAGTATATATATATATGTTTTTTACAACAGTGTGTTTTGACGTGGGCTGTAATTGCAGCAACTGAACTCTTGTATGGGTCAAATGGGGACTGTATGCAGATCTGAAAGCAGTGAAGCATCATTTCATACGGTTACACAGTAAGAGGAATTCTGTTGTGAGCAGACTTTTTGGACTACGGGCAGTAATGTGAACTTACGTGATCCAGTTGAGCTTTCTGTGAAGTGACCCTGGAAAAAAAAAAAAAGCTTGGGTCTCTATTCATTACATCCAAATATTTCCACACCATTAACTGCGTAATACGCCAAGGCTAAACTGAGCTGCTGCTCGGGTTTTGTTCTCTTCCCAATCAGGTGGGGGAAAGAGAGGGAGGGGGGAACATGCAAGTAGGGACTTGTTTTTTATGGACTGATGATTTAAGACTGAATAAAACCAAGGTGATGTAATCAGTCAGTCTTATTGTTTTTTCTGAGCTAGGGAAGCTGTGGCTGTGATGTATAATTCAGAAAAGTTGCTTGTTAGGCTGAAGCTCACAGTCAAACGGTGGCAGTTTGTAGTGTTCTTTTGCTTTGCTCACACTGGGGGCCGTGGTGCAGTGAGCAGGAAAGAAATCTGCCCAGTGTGTCACTTCACATCATGAGGTAGCGGCTGGGACTATTCTAAGATGTCAGCATGGGACATGACATTATCCTTGAGCCAAGCGAGCACTAGTCAGGTTAAAACAAAAGCTTCCTTTCACCTTGCTGCTGCTGTTCATCTGTGTTGAATTAAACGTCTGTCTTCTGTCTCAGAAAATGAAAATCCACCTTTGTACAAAAAGAGCAAAGTTTTAGGGACTAATGGAAAGCTGGGGACAAGAAGAGATTTAATATTTAGATCTCTGTGCAGTCAGCCAGTTAAATCAGTAGCACGACCTTCCTGTACTATTGTACAGGATGCATCTCCAAGCAGCTCATCCAGTAACTACGTTATCCATGTAGTCAGCAGAGGGATGCACAGCTGATACAAAATGAAAGACTCCCATATGTGTGCTACATGTTTTATGTTCTGTGCTCATAGTCACATCTCCTTACATGTTGGATGTATGGATAACTGATGAGTCGCTCTCCATTTTCAGGTTCATTAGCCCCAGGCTCGCATTTTCTTGGCCGCTTTCAGGACCGCATGGTTTGGATAATGATCTTGGAGAGGGGATATGGCTACTGCACTGTCAACATTAAGGTACTGTATCCCTCTGATTGTCTATTAATAATCTATGTAAGAATCTAAAAGATTACATAAGGTGGGGTGTGTTTGTTACAGGGCCTGGAGCTGCAGGAGACGTCTTGCCACACGGTGGAGGCACGGAGGGTGGATGAGGTTTTTGAAGCTGCTTTTGAACGCCCTGAGCGGCTCGGCTTCACCCAGGGCTTCAATCTGCATTGGGGCAATGCCCTCACCCCGTGTGCTGCACTTGCAGTACGGGTCTACTCTGATGCCCGAAATGTGCTGTCTGGTATCATTGACTCTCATGACAACTTGAGGAAACTTCAGGATGACTTCATGAAGGCTCTGATCTGGTTGCTCCTGCGATATTGTGTGCAGAAACATAAAGGATTTTTATGGAGCAGTGAAGAAGTGTCAGCGGTTGGTGGGATGAAATCCCAGTCTTCACAGTTAGCCCAGACAACTTCTAACCAACCACCTGAGGCTGTCATGGTGGAGTCAAATGTGTCTTCTATAAGGTTCAGACAGGACAGCTCCAGTTTGACCTCCTTTGGTGACTGGTCAGATGAGGATGACTTATTTGGCCCTCAACCAGCCAGACGGACAGTTGCATTAGTGACTGCAGAAGCCCAGTCTGGACACGCCACCCTGCAGATGGGGGCCTCTCTGCCGGGCTCCGTGGAGATGGACAGTCTTTTTGAAAACATGGCCCTCTCTGCACTGCAGCCACTGCAGCCTCTGGGACTGGGTATTGGGATGCCAGCTGTGGATAAAGGCCATAACTCAGAGGTATTCGGTGAGAGGTCTGGCTCTCTCCCACATCTGAACTTCAGCTGCCCCCAGTCTGAGGTATTCAACCTACCAAAAGGGTGGAGGACAGCACCATTACTACCATCCCGCTTGCTGTCTCTCAGGCCTTTATTTCCTGAGGATTGGTTTCGATTTACCTTGGGACGCTTTGGGCCTGCTGTGCAGGGTGCAACCTCAGAGGACATGACCAAAGCCCTCAAGGAAGATGAAGCTTTGAAGGAACTGCATATTCATGTTGCACTTTCGTGTCTCATCTCACTGGGGGCAGAGTCTGCCTTCACCAGTCCTAGTTATGTGTACAGGCTGTATTGTGGAGATGTACCGTGGACAGAAGGACTTGCGTGGCTGTCTTCAAGTAAAGAACTTTACCAGCTCACACTTCAGGCTTTCAGGTAAAATTGCCAGTTAGGACCTCTAGATTGTGATTACTATATATCAGCCAGACTTATTTGAGCCAGAGCATCCATGAGAGTTCTGCCTTATGCTTTTGTTTGCCCTCAGGTTCAGTTTCAAGCTGTTGTTTGATCAAGCAAGCCTGGGGCCAATGGAGTCCCCTGAAGAGTTGTTCAGCACTCTGGAGGAATATGAAAGGGACTGGTACATCGGCCTGGTGACAGAGAAAGGCTGGCATGACAGCGTTCTTCAGGAAAAGCCCTTTCTATTCTCACTAGGACATGATCTCACAATGGTAATAAGACATAACGAAGCCTCATTTACACCTAAGCTACAAAATATACAATTATAATTACAGTATATTATCCAGTTGACATAAAATTTAAGGTTCTCATAAATCCATGTGTTCAGCTTAGTTGGTTCCACTAGTTAGTTTGTAACATTTTGACTGTCCTTGTGTGCAGGGTACCTACACAGGGCGAGTGCTGACCCTTCAGGAGCAGCTTGTACAGGTGGGCCGTCTCAATGGAGAAGGGGTGAGAGGCCAGTGGGCAAACCTCTCCTGGGAGCTTCTGTATGCTACTAATGATGACGAGGAGCGGTACAGCATTCAGGCCCACCCCTTCATGCTAAGAAACCTAACGGTTCAGGCAGCCGATCCGCCTCTAGGATACCCTATTTACTCATCTGCCCCACTTCACTTTCCTTGCCTCTGAGCTGTGGTTCCATCTTTCAGGTGGGAGTACCACAGAAATTCATGTTTGAACTGTAGCAAAGTCAAGAGAAATCTTAAATCAGGAGTTTTACATTTTAAATTGTTGACTCAGTTTGTGAAGTGTCAAGTCGGCATGGGAACCAACTTAATTCTTCACATTAATTTGAGAGATGGAGCAGTGGCATCGCCACCAAAGCACAGACATTTGTGTTTATTAATGTTTGTGCTGAAACGAAAAGTGAATAAATTAAGACCCCTCCTCTCCAGGAGACGACTAATAAATACCTCTGGTTTAATTCGACTTTTTAATGTTCATGTGATCCCCCTTCCCATCCTCCCTCACTTTTCCACAAAAAGGAATGAGGATTTTATTGCTTTGTTAAAGAATATCAAGGATGTGCCTTGGGGATGTCTCGCTGTACACGTATGGTGTTTAGTGCTGTTGTTTTGTTTACAATTCACTTGTTTACAATCTAGAATGAATCTGTCCACAGTTTCTTGTACATATTGTTAATTTTTATATGTGTAGCTGTATATACTTACAATAAAAATAGCTTGTCAAAAGCTGTTTTTCATTAAACAAACTTGCCGGGATAGAGAAAACTGAACATAACTCAATTTTTGTAGGCATTTAAAGGGTTGTTGCAGAAACATTGCCATTCTTAATATAGTCTTTATAGCTTGTTGTCCATTCTTCAAGGCTGTGTACCACAAGTTGATTATTGGTTACAAACATTTCATTTAAGATAGGAAGAGGGCACGGAGCTTTCAAACCAGTTATGTCTCTAAATATTTACTTCAAGACTCAATTCAATTTCATTTATACATCGCCAGTTTATCGCCCGCAACAGCCATCCCAAGGTGACATGACATGAAAGCAGAAATTTTGAAAAAAGGAGAAAAAAATACAAAGTCCAACATTAGGAATGCAATTTCCTCTTGAGGATGTGATTTTCAGGAGGTCTTCGGTTTAGTCAAGTTCGCAGAGTCTGCATCCTACAAAAGAAGACGCTAACTGTCAGCACTTGATTTGCACCAAAAATGAAAAATTATTTTATTCAAGGTTGAAAATTGTCTGAATATATATCATGTTAACATCTGTAAATCTTGAGATACTTTATTGGTCACAAGCATGCCCCTTACATTGCCCAACTATTTCACTGTAGAGGAATGTTTAGATTCTGTAAGTCTTTATAGTGTTTCCTCTTTTTCTTTTGGTCCCAAAATGATCCTCCTCCATCCCAAGCAAGTGAATCCACAATGGCTAGCCAGTAGTGGCATGACCTTTCTGCATGGCCCTCAGCTGTCACTGTCCAGCAGAGGCCACCAGACACACTGGTCAGTCAGTTATCCAGCCAGCACCAGGGGGAAGTAGTCATGCTCACTGTCATACCCTAGCCACTGCCTTCTTCTTATTAGACTCAACCAAGGTCAGTAGAAGCTAGAGCCTCCCAGCTGTTAAGAGACAGCGCTGCACACATAGTTCAACTTTATTCAAGTATTTTCAGCCTGTTCACACAGTGAGAACCCACCAGTCTCAGGTCTAATCTAGCACAGCTAACCTTGCAGAATACTGCAGCAGCACAAATGTTGCAGAAAGAAACGGCAGCATCTGATGTGCCCCAAGTAAAGTGGAAAAAAGCTGCATGTTCACCTGCATGCTCCTGACCAAGTCAAAATGTGTAAAACGAATATTATGAAAAAAGATTTTTACTAACTCATAAAGCCCAAATATATACTCATATTGATCAGAGTATTTGGTAAAAATATGGTAATGTTTGAATTTCTCAGACCTACACTAATGTGTAAATAATATATCTACAAGGGAATTTTGCACCATAAAAACTTTCTGTACCTACCCGACCAGCTTTGAAATTCTGCACCCATTTTCTGCCCAACCTGTCGGACACGGACCAGGCGAATGTGGGCGCATACTGCCAGGTGTAGTAAAGCAGGAGCATGGGCTGCTGAGAGATCCACATCTCCTTGACACCATTGGAAATTCCCACTAGCATTAAACGCACACAGCGATCTGTTGGCATCCTCTTCAGATGTCCAACTGTGGGTGGAGGCTTGAAGTAATGAGAGGAAAACTTGTTACTTAAAACATAGCTTTGAAATGGTTATATTAGGCATATCAACTAAAAAAAATACCTTGTTTATTTCTGCTGTAAAGGCATTTTTGGCGATTTGTGATTGGACGGGCCCTGGACACACTGTGCTAATTAGTATTTTTGGATAGTCAGTCAGCTCAGTTCGAAGGGAATTAAAGAAACCCTGTGGATAATACAGCAGAGATCCAGATCTGTTCCCACAAGCCAACAACTAATACATTTAGTTGAAAAGAATTAAGAGAAATAAAAAAGTCATAATCTCCTTTCTGAAATCTCATCACCTGAACTGCATGCTTGCTAGCAGAGGCACCTGTTGCAAGAGGCGCAGCGGTAAGGCCAAAGAGGCTGCTGACAGTCACGATGCTCCCCCTGCCTCGCTGCGTCATGTGAGGCAGCACCTGCTTGGTTAGAGAGACCGTACCGAAGAAGTTGAGCTCCATCAAGGCCTGGCACACATCCACGCTGGTTTCCAAGAACAGAGAGCGCTGACTTCGACCGCCATTGTTAATGAGTATATCAATCTGATGAGGGATAGAAAAGAACATCTGAAATCTCATTTATTTCAGTTACCTATAGTTTTGTACTTTCTAATTTGTTTTTATTTTGATTCAGTTAGTTTTCAGAGTGGATTTTGTTGTTTCAGTTTAGTTTTTTTTGTGCGAAAATGTTTAGTTTTAGTTTCGTTTTTATTAGTTTCAGTGGAAGCTTTAGTCTTTTTATTATTATTGAATAGAGGACACGTGTCTCATCAAAACTATCACAATTGTAAGGGTGAATGTTTATGGAGAAAAAACATTGTTTTCAGCAGACATTTAAAACAGAGTAGCTATCTGAGAGTTTACAACCTCAGAAGAGATGGTGCATGTGGATTTAAAATAACAGTTAAAAGGCTCTGATCAGATGATGACTGCTGGAATACATCTCAGTAGATCTGCTTTTGTAAAAGGGGCACAACAGTGTTAGGCTTTAAAAGTGGTGGAACATGTCACAGCTAACAGGGGGATTTAATAACTGCAGTTTGATCAATCCAAATTTGAAATAGTTCCTGGAAATCGTGGGTGCCACACATGGTCCGGGCTAGAAAAGGAGACAGACAACCAAGCTTACTGTGAGAACCAAGTCCAAAGGTCAGCATCTGGGGCTGCATTGGTGCACACAGCATAGGTAACAAGCATATCTGTGACAGCACAGCATTAATGCTGTAGGATACAGATTTTGGATGCTGGTTCCAAACTGACTTCTGCATGTGCTACAAAAGGAAGGTTTTGCAGTAAAAGCTGGAAATACGTTTTGCTATATTTTACCTTATCCCTTTTTCATGTATGGCATACATTATCCAGGTTTTTACACCTTGTTAAAGTAAAAAGTCTTGAATTTACACACTGTCACAGGTTCTTAGAAAATGACTTGAATAATGAAAAATTAAACTACATCCACAAAGTGAAGTGAAACCAACCATCCATTAAAGGATGTCTTTAAAATAAGACAAAGGTGGTCTCTATTATGTAAATCAAACCCAGTATTTGAATGTTATAGATGAGTTGTTAATGCTACAACAAAAAAATTCATGAAACTATGCAGTGAGCTTACGTGTCCAAAGTACCCAATCACAGTTTTTGTTTTTGTCTCATGTGACCTCCTCTCCAGCAAATCAAGTGGAAGAACAAGAATATCCTCATCCTTAAGTTCAGAGGTCTCTTAAAGAATAAAGGACAAAAAGCATTCATTTAGTCACTTTTGAGTAAAACTGAACAAACTATAACTGACATCATATGGAAACCTAGCATGTTATTAATGTGTTATACTCCATATACGTCCATGTACCCAAGCTTAAGTGTTCCTTCACATTAAGTGGGTTTCTTTTGGCTGGAATCTACTTTACTTTGATATAATTTGACAATTTATCTTACCTAAGCAATGGCGTTTCACTCTGTGTAGCTCATCCTCACGGCGGGCAGACAGGATGAGACGTGAGCCGCACTTTGCCAGCTGGTAGGCCAGCTCTTCTCCAATACCGCTGGATGCTCCAGTGATCCACACCACCAACCCTTTCAGCTTCCTCTCTGGTTGACACAAACCACAACAGTCAACATTTCCTGCTACAGTTCTTTGGTCTTTATAAACTTTCAGAGAGATAGCAAAAACCCAAGGAGCAGCCAAATCCATAATCTGGTACATCGGTAAAAAGGAAATAAAGTTTCACTCCACCATCTGGTGGGGGCCTTTCTGTGTGGAGTTTGCATGTTCTGCCCATGTTTGCATGGGTTCTCTCCAGGTACTGAAGCTTCCCTCCACAAGTCAAAAACATGCAATTAGTGGGGTTAGGTTAACTGTTGATTTGAAATTGTCCAGGGTGTACATGGAAGGATGGCCATCTCAAAAATACCAAAAAGGCCTGAAAGACCACAGATGAAAACTAAAGTGGCTGATCACAGTATCCTTTCCTTTTTTCCCTTCAGTAACATCTAAACAAGTCAAGAGAACTCTCGAAGAGATAGGTGTATCATTGCTAAGCTGTCAAATCAAGAGATGTCTTCATGAATGGAAATAAAGAAAGTTTAAAACAAGTTGGAAACCACTGGTTACACTCAAGTACAAGAGGCCAGATTCCTGTAAGTTTTAATGATACTCTATGCATCATGCTTTACTTTCTAATTATGGTGAAGACTAAAGTGCTCCTTACAAAACTATCTAACAGCATAAAAATAGTTAAAGTTTGACCTATATTTGACTAGCTACAACATCAAACTCCTGCTTACACATTAACATGGCAGGCCTAGTTATAATGGTACAGTATAATCCCGGTTTTATCCCCTTCAGTACAGCACAGTACAGAATGAATTCACACTTCAGGTCTCAGTGCAGGTTTTCAGTCTAATTTAGCTCTCTGTAGCTGTTGTCCTTAACAGTGATCCTTGGGCACAACTTCCCTCTTTAAGGTATCACATTTCAGCTTCACAAAAATCACCGCATTGCTATCAAAGATTGTTCTAAACAGAAACACATTTACTTAATAAAACAAACCCTTGGCTGACAGACAGTCTGTGCTTTCCCTTTAGGATAACTTTGCACTTAGTAACATCAACAGGCTCTGAGGAGGCCTCCTCTGACTGCCACTGCTCCCTGATATGAAAACATTTGTGAATAATTGATAAGAGAAAAATGTATGATCTCTTCCAAAATTTGCCAGGGTCAGTTAGACTTATAAACTTAGCCTAACGGTTTTTTATTTTTAATTTTTACTGTCCCCAACATTTGCAGAGATACACATTTGATCACAAATCTGAGCCCCTTCTTTATTAATAAGAAACTTCTCACAGTGCTGGGGGATGGTTGTTTCACTCACCTGGCCTTTGCCCTGTCAGACTTGCCCAAAGCAGAGTGAAGTCTGCATCCGCAAAAATGAAGCCAATTAAACAGACAAGTAAACAAAATGCTATGAAGCAGCTCAGTGCAGATACAGTGCAGGACTCCATTCCTTGTAAAACAACACACATGCACAACCAACAAACTTATGATTTAAGTAACTACACCGCAACCTATAATGAGAGGTGGTTAAAGTGTAACCACTTGTGTAATCACTTCCTCTCTAGTATTTTCAAATTTAAACCTAGAGAGTGATATTTAAAGTCTTTATTCTTCTTCTTCATAATTTTTAAAACACTCTGTGGTTTCTCGACTGATTGGGATCCATTCCTGCCTTGTTATTGTTCAAAGCTGATTAACTTGTGGGTTCCCACTTTTTACCCCAAAAGACCAAATGTATCATATTTCTTGTGTATGGATCCAAAATGTTAATTTGATGATATTTGAACCATTTAAATATTACTTTAGCCTAGAGACATGGTTTTCCATCATGCTTGAAAATGCACCAAAGTGTCATCAAATTGCTCATTGTAAGAAGTTAGTCTTTGAGGCCTTTTTTTTTTTTTAAACTATGAGTCAATCTTGACACCAATAGGAAGGAAGTTGATATCAAGCTTGCCACAAAGAATTTCAGAGGTTATGAAGAATAAGGGTCAAGAATTTACACCAATTTCAAAAGTCTTTGAAACTTACATAGTGGTTGTTGTTTTTCTGTGTCTCAAAAACATGTTAAAAATATATATAATTAAAACTGAAGCTGCAGAGTGCATGAAACACAAACAGGTGACTGTCAGTAAATTCACCATGATTTAGAAACAGCTAAAATTGAGACTTAGTCTCATCACATTAAAATTGTGATTCCAGGGCCTGGACAAAACTGGTAGGCTATTAAGAACGTTATTTCATTAGACGGTTGGTTATTCAGGTGAAGTCTGAGTATGAGTGCCCAAGCGTGATTCCAAAGACTCCTACAAGAAGATTTGTGAAAGAATAACCTCACAAGGATTTTTAAGCTTCTATGAAGACGTGCATTGGATTGGGTCTTGCTGTATCTGCATAGTGTTTGGTGTGATGTTGTGTTGATAATTTTACTTGTCCCTTTAAAGGAAGTGTAAATTTTCTAAGTCCTCTACTCTTTCATATGCTTACAATAAAAAAATTAAAAATATATATATTTTTTTTTAAATCGCTCATCAAACAGCAGTTTAATGTTTCATTAAACAACCTGGCCCAAAAGAAAATTTGAAGTAAACTTTATTAGTCATCCAAAAGGTCACTCAAATCTGTAATCATTCTTTAGGCCAAAAAAAAAAAAAAAAAACCAAGGGAAAAACAGACTATGTCTGAGACAAGAAGAGCTTTTAAACTGAGCTTTTAAACAGTCATGTCCTTGAATTCTTCCTTCTGGATGGAAAAAAAAAATCCAAAGTCCAACTTTAGGAACACATTGAAGTGTTTCTTCCTGAGGACGCAGCTTTCAGGAGGTCTTTGGTTTAGTGAAGTATGCAGAGTCTGCATCCTGCAAAAGGAAGAGTGCGGCTGTCAGCACTGATTTTCTACTTCCCTGAATCAAATCAAAATAATTTAAAGGAAAACGTCCAAATAGACATGCTGTTAATATTTGTACATCTTAACAAAAAATTTTTTCAAGGTGGTCACAAGATGACGAGCTTTATAGGCAGGGATTTCACTGTTATGCTATTCATGTTTTTTTAGGCTCTTTCTGTTTCAAAATGATCCTTCTGAAGCATGTGAATCAACAACGGCCACCCAGCTGCAAAATGACCTTTCTGTAAATTAACCTCTTTATATTTAAGGACCAGTGTGCAATTTATATGCATTCTCCTCCCTCTCCGTTAAATACTGACATAATTACACTCACTGGCCACTTTAGTCAGCTGATCAGTAACACAAATATCTAACCATCCAATCACAAGGTAGCAAACTCAATGAGTTTAGGCAAGTAAAGAAGATTCAGATGACCTGCTGAGGTTCAAACAGACCATTAGAATGAGGCAGAAAAGTGATTAGAGTAACTTTGAATGCAGCAGATGTATGAATGTAGCTGGTAAGCGTATTTCAGAAACTGTTTGAAAAAGAGAAAATATGCAGTGAGCTGCAGTTCTTCGGGTGAAAATGCCCCATTGACACAATAGGGAGACCACACCGGGTGCCATTTCTTGTCAGCTTAGAACAGGAAACTGAGGCTACAA